TCTTTTTAAAACTTGAAATCATTTTTTTTCTCATGTCCATGCATCTTGAGGTCGAGATGATCAATTTGTGGATATTTAGAAATCAAAACAACCTCTTCTAGTGAAATTTTTGAGGCACGCCTTAACTTCATTGTTTAGAACCTCACATTTATATGAACGTTTTCCTTAAAAGGGTGCGGAATTGAGAAACTCGTCGAGGTTTAACATTTCAACTTGACAAGTGAACTAGGTATTGGCATTGACCGAATCGGCCACCAAGTTTGTGTTTTTGGAAGTTCAGCGACATCTTAAAATTAATTTTTTAGACACAGGAAGTTTCTTAGTATTTTCTAATTTATTAGTCCCATTTGTGTAGAATCCTTTTGAACAAAATATGTCGTTTATGCGTTTTGAAACAAACGATTACCATATGGAGAAAATATATTTGGGGAAATTTAAAATAAAAAAATTGGGGATGCAATAAATCATATTCAGGAGTTGGATAATGTGCAATTCATGGGAGGTTTTTTAACTCAAGAACAATTAAGAGAGAGAAGCTTATGGGTGGTGACATATAAGGAATTACTTAGGCCGGAAGAAATTCATTGGAGACAAAAATCACATGTGAAATGGTTGAAAGAAGGGGACAAAAACACAAGATTTTTTCATGCTAAAGCCACGCTAGGAGAAGAGGAAATTCAATTCAAAATTTTAGAATTGAAGGGGTAGATTGTAATAATGGGCTAGATGTTGAAAGGGCCTTGATAGACTACTTTAGAAGGCTTTTGCGGCTGATAGTGAACTTGGCATTTCAATCCAAGACCTTTTATTCACTAGATTACCTCTCAAACAAGCCAAGTGGCTGGAAACAAGTTCTGAAAAACAAGAAATCAAAGATACAGTATTTGGTCTTGGAAGAGTATTTGGTCGTGGAGGACTATATTTGTCAATCATTGGAAGAATTCTATTGCAGGGGAAGGATTAACATTACCATAAATTCCACATTCATTGCTTGAATCCCCAAGAAAAATTTAATTGAAGACGTAAAAGATATTCGGCCTATTAGGCTTATTGGTAGTCTCTATAAAATTATAGCTAAGGTCTTAGCTAATAGACTATGCCATGTAATTCATCTTGTAGTTAAAGGGCCACAATCAGCTTTTTTGAAGGATAGGCAAAATAATAGACAGTATCTTGATAGCTCAAGAATGCATTCACTCCAAAATCAAAGAAATAAGATTGTGCCTTGTTTGTAAGCTAGACGTTTAGAAGGGCTTGTGATAAGGTTGATTGGAAGATACATCAAATCATAATGGGTAATATGGGTTTTCGCTTAAGGTGGCGATTATTGATTGATGGTTGTCTCTCATCTAACCATTTCTCAGTCTTTGTGAATGGTAAGACAACTGGTTTTTTCAAGGGTTCTAGAGGATTGAGACATGGTGACCCTCTCTCACCTTTCTTATATATATTATTGGCGGAAAGTTTTAGTGTAAAGTTGAGTGAAATGGTATCAAGTGAGATCATCTCAGGTGTAAAAATTGAAAATCATGGTTTAATTGTATCACAATTACAGTATGTAGATGATACTATCATCTTTTGTGAGCCTAATGATAGCGAGATCACTATCCTGTGGATTTTTCTGAAAAGCCTGAAACTCTCTACTGGCCTCAATGTCAATCTTAATAAGACCAAACTTATTAGTATTGCTACCCTCAACCTATGGTATGTAGGATGGCATAGCTGCTAGCTTGTGGTGAAGAGATTTGCCTGGCACGTATTTGGCTGACACATATTTGGCTATCCCATTGTTAAATTCTAAAGCTCCTAGCTCTATATGGGATCTAGTAGTAGAGATGTTCTAAAAGAATTGGACTTGTGGACAGTAAAAGCATTATCTTTAGGAGGAAGATATATGTTATTTAGTCCACTTTATCCAATATACCAATTTATTTCATGTGCTTATTCAAGATGCCAAAGCAAATTGAAAAATTGCTTGAAAGGTTAATGAGGAATTTTTTTATAGGGAGATCAAGAAAGCAAGAAGAAACTTCATTTGCTGAGTTGGGCAAAGTTTTGTGCACCTTTGAGAGATGGAGGTCTAGGTATTAAGAGATTGAAACATATTATGCCTTTCTTGTGAAATGGTGGTGGAGGATTCATATCCAACATGATTCTTTTTTGGTACAAGTTTTGAGAGATAAGTATGATATGGATTTGAATTACGGACTTATTAAAACCCCAATAAACAAGTTATGAATATCCCATATTTGTAGAGTGATTGATTATGAAAGACCTATTTACTTGCAGCAGTTCTGAAAAGTGGTGGGCAATGGATATTCTACACTTTTCTAGTTTGACAAATGGCTTGGAGACTATCCTTTGAGATACCTCTTCCCTGAGGTTTTTTCAAAAGTCTCAAACCCACTAGCATCCATTAATGAGGTTAGTGGGGGTGATTTGCTAACATTGTTTAGTCTATTCATTGTGGGTATAGGAGAGTAACAAAGTTTTATTGGGAAGTATCAAACATTGCTAAATTTATTGAACAATGTTTACTTAACCCAAATAAGGAGGATACTTTCATCTGGGATCTTATTTCCTTGGGTGATTTCTCTGTTAAGTCCACATATGACATCTTGATTTGTGGTTGCAGTAGGGAGCTAGATCTGGGTCTTTTTAACATCAAGAAACTACATGTGCCTCTTAAAGCCCAATTGCTCTTATGGATCTTATGTCAAGATAAATTAGCAACAATTGATAATTTAAGGAAACAACGATGTATCATCACCAATGTTTCTATTCTATGTAAGGCCAATGATTAATCATCTCAACACTTATTTTTATCATGCCTTCCTGTTGCAAGTCTTTGGGATCAGGCTCGTCAATGTCTCAATTTGTTCCTACCAGTGCCTAAAAATGCAAGAATGCTACTTAACCAATGGATCTCTCCGGGAATTTCAAAGGTGAGTACCATTCTATAGAGATTTATTTGAGTTTGGAGTATGTGGAAGAAAAGAAACAGAAGAGTGTTTGATGGTATTAGCACTGATCTATCTATGCTTAAATCATCCCCAAACGTTTAATCATCAACAACCCTATAGAAGTGGCAATTTTGGGTATACATATTAATACTTAAAGAGCGGCTGTTTGGAAACCACCACCTTTAAATTCGTACAAACTCAATTTTGATGAAAGCTCCTTTGGGAATCCAGGTGCAGCTAGCTTTGGTAGACTCATTCGAAATAATTTGGATCACATAATTTACTCGTATTCAGGTCCTTGATGCCCCTAGCACATAAAATTGAGGTTGAAGCTTGTGGTTTGTTAGAAGGACTGAAACTGATTAATAGATTGGAAGAGGGTAACATCGTAGAAGGAGATTCAACAAATGTTATTTCATAGAGCAAAAGAGAAGCCGATATTCCATGGAAGTAAAAGGCTACTTTCCATGACAGTAGGGATAGATTATTAGTTACTGATGTTGATCTTCAACATTGTTACGGTGAAGCTAGCAAAAAAGTTGATTCTCTAGCCAAAGGAGGGGTTAATTCCTCTACTTTGAGGGTTACCTTTCTCCAATGACTTTTCATTTTATTTTATTGTATACCTTGTACTTTACTCTGATTAATGGAAGTGTTATGTTAACCTTCAAAAAAAAAAACATAGTTTCGTAGGTAACATGAGACTAAATGGCCATATTGACGTTTGTTCCTATGGGAGTATTATTGTACACTTATTTCCACGGGTAGAAGACCTAGAGGACTTTTCCTATCTGAAATTTTGGGAACCACCTGATAACCATTAGACGATTATTTTTAAAATAAGAAATTTGGATTCTGAGCTCTCTAACCAATAGATCTTAGAGACATTATTTTTTTTCAAACCTATATTGTGCAATTTGGAAAAAAAAAATTTATTAGGACTACGAGTTGAAAAGTCACATCAGCAAAATTTGAAGCCCCACAAATACTCCAAAATTGAGTTTTATCTGATGGAATAAACAAGCAATATCCTTCCGAGGGAATATGAAATCTTTTGGCTTGAGATATTAATGCTTGTGCTTATCCAAGTCATAGTCTGGGAGATTGCAATAGTTTTGTCAATAATCTGGTGTTGGATCCCTAAGCTTGCATACCAGAGAGATGGGAGAGGAACGGGCACTGTTACTTCCACAACTTCCACTAGTGTACCATGACTTTTTAGCAACATTTGTTATCAACACTAATGTGATCGTATTTAATAAGAAACCAAGCTAAAATTGGTTCTAAACTTGTGCATGTAGATGCTCCAGATTACTGGTGAGCATAAGGCGATTATGAATGATTTCGAATAAACAATTTCCTTTAAGGACAGCCACGTAAAAGTAAAATATAGATCATGGCCCATGGATGGCACCAATATGTGCCTTGACGAGATGGAAACAGAGTGACCTGAAACTTTTGCCACATTATGGAGGTGAGGAAATAGAAGCATTGGCCAAATACTCACGAATGGTTATTTTAACACATGTGAAAGAGCATTTCTTTTCACAATTCTGGTATAAGAAAACCAACAGGAATGTGAGGCATGAGAGGAGGGAACATCAAATGTCAGAGATACGAGAAGAGGTCAAGTGTTTTTCTTATTAAGGCCCAAACAGAGTTTCGGGATCAAATATCAAAGAAATGAGAAAAGCCCAAACATACACAATGAACTCTACATGAACTACTAACTACAACAGGGTATAGCAAACTGGTTTGGAAAAAATACAATGCTAAAAAAAAAGCATTTTAAAATCCCAAAACAACTTAAAATAAAAAAAACCATTTCAAAATCCTGAGGTCCTCAACATGTGTGGAGAAAAATGGTATAAATTTGTTCTTGGAGCTTGCAATTATGGAGTAGGAACATCCAAGGGGCAGCAAACGAAACAATATTTTGTTCCTAAAAAATTACATATAACCTAGCTCAACAACCAACGATAACTTGCCATATTTGCAACTTCAATGTTGTCTGTGGGCAAAGGTTCTTGGGTCAAATAGAAAAACTCCACGCATGGGGTCTCCATTTTTAATGAGAAAGGTAAATAATTAGCTTTATTAAAACAAATTACAATAGAAGATCGGCACACTGGCAACCTGACAGAATGAAGTGTGGAACGACCTTTTTTAACAGCCCCTGAATGGATGCGGCACACATTATTTTGTGTTTGACTATAATCAATCCCAAGTCCAAACAACCACTACTGTCCAACCCTTTCCCAAATCTCTTAATGCTTGGGTTGGTTAATGGTGAGATCAACCATCATATCGACCCCTCACAGATTCTGAAGGTTCCTCTTCCATAACGCCTGAACCAGCATTGGCCAAATACTCACGAATAGTTGTTTTCCGATCAGCAAGAAAAGTGTGGTCAAGAAAATTATTATATGCTTCTTCATTAAGGTTCCTTGCTGCCAAGACACTACAACAAAAAGCACGAATTTCCCTTTAGCAGGCACTATTCTCCAATAGGTCAAAATAGAGGCGCAGCCATCCACATAAACTGAATATCAGTAACAAGTAAAGAACTCTCTTATCTAAAACTAACCAGAAAGAAGTTACTTGCTTCCAGAATCTTAGCATGCGATCATCTCCATAACCATACTAAAATAATGGTGCAGCTAAAAGTTTTTGCTATAATGGAAGCCTTTCTAACTAGAATTCTAGCATTCATGAATGTTAAATGCATTAGAGGAAAGGAAAAAGCTCACCAGTGTCGAAGATAAACCCGGCAGGGTAACACATCATCCCTCCAGATCTTGAAAATATTCAGGCGTCCAAAATGCTTGAAATAGATATCCTTGTCCCCTGAAGGAAGGGAGACAATAAATATAAATTAAAATGGTAGCAGATGTGAGGACCAAGAAGGAAAAAGTATGACAATTTATCATAAAAGGAAAATGATAAGATCTTTTCAAATACATGAATTCTCTTATGATATCTATTCAGTTACATTGGGCATGAAAACTTTCACAATACATGATTTAAATGAAATGACAGTGGAAGATCAGAAAAATGTCGACAGAAGAACGAATTTTCACAACTTGAAGTTGGCTTTAGATACCCAAACTGGAGGTCATACACGAGACATTTTTTAATGCACTAGAACATTGTACATCTTCTTTGGCAGAATGAGCAAGTGCTTAAAGAGACAGCTAATGGAATCTAATTAAAATATATATATAAAAAGTCTCCCTTGTTATCACAAAAGAAATTATTATCCTTCTAAATACTTTCCCTTGCTAGTTTTTAAATGTGGCAGTAGCTAATGATTTCTTCCGATGATTGACGATATGTTGCAGCTATTACTTTTCCCATTGCAAAGGACGCTTTGAGAGAAGGACAAAAGCTTTGCATGAGGTTATGCAGTCCCACAAGTTGTTATTCAAGCGGGATATGTAAGGTAAAACCATAAAAGCATGCACATTGATGATTCTTAAATTCCTTTGGGTCATGATAAGTTTTGGAGGAATATATTTTGGACCTGCTTCTTTCTCAAATTTGGTTATAGGTTACACGTGGTGACCCCTTTATCTCCTACCATTTTAATTATCATATCAAGGTATTCGTATGAATCCTTGATACAGCTCAGGATAGTTTGATATATTTTCTTGTGAGTGGTAGATATCCTATCACTCACCTTTAGTTTGTAGATTATACTATGATATGGAGTCTTTTATCCCTTAGGCAAGGACCCATTCATCGGTAATTCAATGTTGTGACTTGGTTCCCTGACAGAAGACTGCTAAAAGCCAGACTGAGATAGAGCTCATAGGAGATGAAATATGTGTAAATGGTCATGCAAACAGTGCAATGTAAGAGAGGTCCTGCCAATGACTTGACTAGGAGAGGTGAATTCGTGGAAGAGCAACTTCCATTGCTCTTATGAAAGTTTCTCTCAATGACAACCACGCCAAATTAGTCTCCTATAGAAAATTCAAATCCAGTTTGATATGGTGAGGTTGCTCAACTCTGTGTTGGGCATTGAGGAAGCTACAACTTCTCAGAGTTTGTTTCCTTAACAGAGTAAATACGAAAAGGAATTAGTCATGTCATAATATTATAGGCTGCAAACGAGCTGCAACATTCATTCAACTTAATCTCAAGTTGCTCCAAAATGTTGGTACTCCCATGCATGTTTCTTTAAGATCATAGTGTTGTCGCAGGTGTTTGGAGTATCTCAAGTATATTGGACTTAAATTGTCTATTGTGTTGTCAATTCATGCATAATTCCACGAATCCCTGTTTTATGTAACTGAATACCCTTTTTTAATTAATTCCTATGGAGTTTTTACTTTGAATTTTATAAAAAGCACAGCTATTGATGGAATTCTTCTTTTAAATATTTCCTCTTTAAATTCGTATGTTCATATTTTGATTGGGAAAGTCGTCAAAATAGTAGACAAACTACAACTGCATATCACATCTTCTTAGGCCATAATTTGGTTTCATTTGCACTAAGAAGGGCTGAAATAGATGTAACACTAAAGAGTAAAGAGTCTACGGCTACGAGGGTGCAGAAATTGTCTGGTTGACATATCACTTACTAGAGGTGTTCAATTATATCATCGATTCATACGCTTATAGTCCAATCCATCTTTGACAATCAACAGTTCTGGGAGATATTGCTGAGCACATTTTAAAATTTTCCATGTCAGACATGTGAGAGTTGGCGTGTTCAAAATTGCCAATGTTTGTCAAAACACACCAGGGTACAAACTATATGGAAGTGTATTTGACTAAATTTTTATTTAAGGAGCCATGTCAAACATCAACATGTGTTATGCCCATTGTAACTAGCAGTCAATTTTTTATGCTATATGCATTATTCATTTGTAGGAAGATTAGCATTAAATTAACAATGATAATGCCTAGGATCCTGAACAGTATTTATGTTAAACTACCAAACTTGCAAATGTTCAGAGGCATGCTCCAAGGATCAATTTCGATGCATCAAGAGAAACCTAGCAACGGTCTGTCAAGTGTTACAACCACCTTGAGGGGGACTATTAAAAGATAAGCTATGCAATTATTCTAATTCAGAAATTTGTTTTCTTTGAGAGCATCATGTACTCATTTTTCATAGTAAGGCATTCATAAAGGCAGCAATCTTGTAGAAGTAGTGTCACATTGTTCTACACCTTCCATTTTAATTGGACAATGTAAGTTTGGCATATCTCGAAAATAGTGTTAAAAGTGGCATTTCTTGTAAAATAGTGCCAAATCTATACCATACAAATTAAATGGACAGTGTAGAATACTACAACCTTATTTCTACCAGTAAGGTTGCAGGCTTTTATAGACTTTTTTTTCGTTGTGTGTGTGTGTGTGTGTCTGTGTCTATGTAAGGGGACATGCATTATAAATGTGGGCCAAAATGTGTCTGTGATTTGCTGGTGAATGAAGATTCCATATGCAAGAATTCCCATTTTACCTTCATTATTGATAGGAGCTAGAAAAAAATTTTAGATGAATTGGGTGTCTACTAAAAAAATTTTCATTTGATTAGAAGTTCCATTTTGGAAGGAATTGTTGTTTTAGAGTATAAAGAGATCAATGGAGATTTAGGAAAATTGGAAGGATGGACTGCATAATGCATCACAAGATACCACATTTTTAGGGCATGTAATCAATTTAATTTCAGACCAATAATTTTCTAGATCGAGATGATCGAATTGAAGGCTTTCTAATGCCTGTACTGCAATTTCTGATAGGGTTTTGGTTTTAAGGTATAATTTTACTCTTTTATCATCCAGCCTAGGCCTTATAAATCTATTTTCACTCCTAATTATGAAATTTGAAGCTCCAAAAACGGTTCAGATCTAGAACATTGTGAACACATGAAAATGAATGGGTTGCATAATGTGATTGTAAGATACCACTTTTTCAGAGCTTTTAATCAATTTTATGTTAGATCCATACTTTTTGAGGTCAAGATGATCAAAGTTAGGCCTTTCTAATGCATGAACTGCAATTTCCAAAGCGGTTTTGGTTTTGAGGTGTAGTTTTACTTTTTCAACATCAAGCCTAGGCATTATATATATATATATATATATATATATATATATATATATATATATAGTGTGTGTGTAGTAGTAGGTAGTAGTAGTAGTACGTAACGTAACTAACGTACGTAGTATACTACTACTAATAATACTACTACTACGACGACTATACTACTA